GAATATTGGTCTGTAGTTGTCTCTTCAAGCAAGACTTTTGACTGGTACAGTTATTAGAGCAATGGTATCTGATAAATTTAGTAAGAAATTATTTGTTCTTTTTATGTAAGTTGTAAAATTGGTCTGGTCTTTTGAATTTTTTAAACTTTTGATAAAATTCATCTGTGAAATATTTTAGACTTGGAATTTTAAGTCTCAGAAAGTTTTAAGTATCAAATTTAATCTGCTCTGGTGGGGCCAATCTATAATCTAAGCTAGTCAGAAGTTCCAGACAGGAGGTTCACAAGTTTAAATGTAGCCTGGGCAATCTAGTGACACCCTATCTCAAAATAAAAATAAATACATTCACACACACACACACACACACACACACACACACACACACACTTTTTTTGACATAGGGTTTCTCTGTGTAACAACCCTGGCTGTCCTGGAACTCACTCACTCTGTAGACCAAGCTGGCCTCAAACTCACAGAGATCTTGCCTCTGCTGAGTGCTAGAATTAAAGGCATGAGCCACTACTGCCTGGCTACATGTATATTTTTAAAGGCTGTAGCTGTAACTCAGTCATAGAGCACTTTCCTGGCATGTTCAAAGCCTTGGAATCAATGCCAAGTATCACCAAAAATTAGAATATTTTAGTACATTTAACATCATTATCCTCCTGAAGTGTCAAATAGTCAGTTCTTGTCATTTATTACTTGAGGATGGCAAGAGATAATAGAAAGGATGTGTATAGTTCTTTAAAGTTTCTGAGCTGTTATTCACATAGGTAGACTAAATGCCATTGTCAAGAAAAAGCCTTAGGTGTTGGCAGCTAAAGATCGGCTGTATGTGTCACAACTGTAATGGCCAAAGGGATTTATCAGGACACTGACAGTATCTGTTGCAAATTAGAACATTTTGCCCTCATTTATTCTTATACCTCATTCTATTTCCTCTGTTCTGTCACTGATTCCAATAAGCTTTGCTTAGTTATAATATGTTAAAAGCTCTTACAGTAAGAGGGTTAGCATAACAAACTATAATTCTCTTCTGCCACAGTCACTTCAACATTATAACTGATATTTATTAGCTCATTCTTCTAGAATTTTTAAAATTTAGTTCTTTGCCATTTTCATACATATATACAGTACATTTGGGATTCAACAATCTCCTGTAATATTATTCACTAGATTTTCCTACTGTCAGCTAACACTTCTGCTATTCTAAGTTGCTTTCCTAGTAGGTCTACCTAGATCATCTTTTCAAGGTTAATGAACACTTGTCAAGCTATAACTACTACTGGGCATGGAAGAATTAGGGAACTTATTATGGCACAATTTTTATAGTAGTAACTATTGCTTCTCATAAAAATCAGAGTCCACATCAATTTTGGTCATTTGGCATGAGGGATACAAAGTATCTAAGTGGTAGTTATAGCTTTATGTTTTCTGAAATTCTTTTATCTCTTTAAAAGCATCGCCTCTTCCTAGAATTAGTATTTCTAGTTCAAAAGAGATTAAATTTGTATGGATGTGTTTATTTTAAAAGCACACTAAATAATTTACTGGGAAGGCTGAAAAAATAGTCCAGGCAAGCTTCCAGGACCAACACTATATTCTGCATAAAAATTTCCTGAGTTTGATTGTATTTGATGCTCTTAAAAAAAAAAAAAAAACTAGCATCTCTAACTACATGTCAAAAGATCTTAGGGACCTCAAAGGCTAAATGATAGGAGCAATCATTTCATAAAAGGCCCTACAGGGCATGTAATCAAAACTGCATAAGAAATTTGTATATGTTTCTCATAACAGTGAATTTAAAAAACAGATGTAACATTATACATTTTGTACCATAGAAAGATGACTCAGGATGAATGGTAGAGGATAAATTTGAAATAAGGTATATTAATATGGGTTCTCTAGAGGAAATGGCCACTAGCATGTCTGTATATATGTGTCTCTTTAACAATTAATCATCAGTCACTTAAAAATATTGGCTCATACATTTATGAGAGTCTCAAATCAAAAATCTAGAGTCCATTGGTTGGCTGGATATCCAGGAAAGACTTGATGTTGTAGTGTCTAAAGGCAGTCTGGAAGCAGACTTCCTTCCTAGGGTCTCTTAGTCTTTTTTATTAAGAATGTCAAGGATTTAGAGGAGGCACATTCCTATAATTGAGGGCAATTTACTGTACTCAAGACTTTTTTGATTTAGATATAAGGCACATCTAAAAAATGCTTTCCTAGCAAGATATATACTGGCATTTGACCAAAAATTGGGGTATCATGGCCTACTTAAGTTGATGTATTAAAGTCAACAATTGCACAGGGAGATCAGTTAAGATGGAATGTAAGATGATCTGTGGTTATGAATTTCTAAAGAATATTTCCTCAATCTTAAACATTACCAGATTCTCTGTAACTACCATGCTACTTTCACCATCAACTGTTATGCTTTCATGTAACTAAGGATTTAATATTTGAAAAGTAAATTATAGTCTTTTATTTTTGTAACATTTTATACATTTGTTAAAGTTAGGTAAACTGAAATGTCATCACCGAGAAGTATAAAGCAGATGGTGAAAGCATGAATTAAACTGGGTAATAAATTACTGCTTTAAGATCTTGAGATAATTTTATCTTATTTAAATCACCATATTTTCATGGCATTTTTGTCTTTGTGTTTTTAAAATTGATTTATATGAATCCTTTACTAACTGCAAAATAGCAGCAGGAAACTAAGTTTTAGATATTATTTTAAATGGATATCTGCAAAGTAAATTTTAGAATCGATATCTATTAAATAACACCGTCTGTCAAGATAGAAAATGGAGGATAGAAATGTGGACAAAGAAAAAAAGTATTGTTTGCTCTTAAATTTTACAAGGTAGCATTGCCGTAAAGCACACCTCTTACGTTTATCCACTCGTTGATTTCCTCATCAAAATGATATGACTACACTTTTTACTTTGATCCTCGAGTAGCTATATTCTCCCTTGTAGCTGACCATGTACCAGGCAGAGAGACTAAGTTCTGTAACCCTCAACATCCCAAAAGCAATTTGTGACACTATTTGGTGATGACTGAGTTCAAGATTCCATAGTTTGTGCACAGCACATCATTTTATTTAAGTAGAGAAATTCCACTGTTATTCAGAAGTGGAGAAGATTTAGTTAATGCAGGGTGAAGACATTTGCTAGTTACATGGTCACATATAGTCATATGGACCCTCATTCAAAGTTGATTCTGATATTGAAACTGATCATATCTCACTTATTTTAACAGGATATGAAAATAATTGAAATTGAAAATATATGAAAATGTATTTTTATATAGTTGAGAGAATTGGGTAGATTGTTCAAGCACATCCAAAATAAGAAAAAGAAAAAAAATTGCCTGAATTTTTTTTTTTCGAGACAGGGTTTCTCTGTGTAGCTTTGGAGCCTATCCTGGAACTCTCTCTGGAGACCAGGCTGGCCTCGAACTCACAGAGATCCACCTGCCTCTGCCTCCCGTGTGCTGGGATTAAAGGTGTGTGCCACCAATACCCGGCAAAAAATTGCCTGAATTTTTATTGCAGTTATTATTAGTATTCAGGCATCTGGACAGGCCTGTCCTTGGGGTTCTGACAGGATATATCCTTGGCTGCAGCCACTAAGAGCACCACCTGTGCACATTCACTACGTTCTCTTTTAAAAGGATCCTGGCCACCTCCCATTTTTCTCTTTCTCTCTGTCTCTGTCTCACTCTCTCTGCTTCTCTGCCTGTTTTTCTGTCTCTCCTCTTTCTCCCTGTCTCTCTCCCTGCTTCCTGCCTCTCTTTCCTTTTCTGCTGCTCCTATCTTCAGAGGCTGCCCCCCACTCTCCCCTTTTCCCACTCCTTTAATAAAAAGCCCCACGACCCAAGCTCTGTTGCATGACTTTTTTCTCTCATGTGCCGCTTTTTAAAATTTCAACAGTGTGGGATTAGGATTAGAGTTGTAGTATTAGGGTAAGAGTTTTCGTGGTTCAAATCTCCTGCTGGTGTCAAAGGAGAAAAAAGCCTAACTTCCTTATGAGTCTGTTAGATGTGTTCACAAGGTCAAGAGGATAAAGCATAGCTTAAAAATCTGTCAGCATCATGCATCAAAAAGTTGAAGTCAACATCTTCTTTATATTGGTTTATTTATACCTACCAAAAGGCATAAGTCTGTGGAGTTGAAGGCAATTATTTAGTCTACAAATACTTTAAGGAAAGCTAGCTCTCTGTACTATATTATGATTTTTGGAAAACTTTCAGCTGCTAGTTTTGTCAGAAGGATGGCTGCCCTGGTTAGCTTTAATCGTCAACACAGCCACACTAGAGGGCTATGAAATCTAGCAGACCCCCTTTGCTAAAGTCATAATGAAGTGAGGGAGGCTAAGGAGAATTCACAAGGCCCAAAAGCACAGTAAAAAGGATGGACACATGCTGAAGTATTCCAGAGTTCTGTAGGAAAGTACTGTGGAGTGGAATGGAGTGTGAAACGGGGAATAGAACCGTGGAAACTATTTGAAACTGGCTGTTCTAGAACTCACTATGTAGATCAGGCTGTCTGGAACTCAGAGATCCTCCTATCTCTGCCTCCTAAGTGCTGAGATTAAAGGCATGTGCCATCATGCCCAGCTAACATATTAAGCATTTTGTTATTTCATTTATTGCATCGAAATCTTTCAGTTATTTGAATGTACTCTGGGAAAATGTTTAATCAGATAAATATTAAAAGAAATGACATGTGTCTGGATTCTCAACTCTTGTTTAACTTTAACGGAAAGGTAACTTCTTCCTTCTAATGTTTTCCTATAATTCTTCTAATTGTTAGAGTATTACTGTTATACCATATAATTAAATTTGTGTAAAGTAAAATATTTCAATTCTTTTTAAAAATAAGAACAATGAAGAATTAAAAGTTAGTTGCTAAAAAAATCAGATTCTCCCTTACTTTTTAATATTTGTGCTAATTCAAATGTTAGAATCCTTGACTTCTGTTGTGTTAGACTTGGGAGGCCTGGTGTTGACTGTTACTGCCAACATGAAAGTGGTGCAGCTGTCTTGCAGCTCCAATTCCTGATCAATGAGGTAAGATTTTTTTTTACTATTTCAAACATGTATGCACAGAGTATTTTTAATTATTTAAAACATAAATATGCCCACACTTGCACTCACAGAGTATTACAGGTTGAGTATTTCTTATCCAATGCAGTTGGGTCTAGAAAGTCTATGGATCCTGGATTTTAAATGTGGGAATATTTGTGTATATATTGGGACACTTTGGAGAAGGGACCCACCTCTAAGTATTAAATTCATTTATATAGTGTGTATACTTTATACACATAGTTTGGTGGTAATTTTGTATATTTTTTCAATGGTCATATATTTTTAATTTAACCACAGTAGATCAGGTATAGAATTTTCCCTTTGTGGAAAAGTTAAACTTTTGGAGCATCTAGGCTTTATATATTTGCATTGTGGGTATTCAACTTGTAGTTGATATAGTTCTTTTTGATATTATGATTTTAGATCTTTAAAATACATTGTATACATTATTACTAAAATTCATGTTTTTCATATTCCTATATTAAATTTAGATTTTAAATTTTAAGAAACATTAAACTAAAAATCTAAATTTAATACTAAATAAGAGAAAAATATTTTGTCTATCAGAAGATTCTTTTATTGTGACTTTGTATCATAATTTTAAAAATTATTTAATATTTTGCTAAACCATTGAGATTTCTATCTACTCACTCTCTTCCCCTAATTTAAATATTTTGCTTGTATCTTCATTGAAAGTATATGCTTCTTTACCAGTAGGCTTTTATATGTATAATCCATGCATCTTTTATCTGTATGTATGCATTTATCTTTTATTTTCATACACACTTGTTGGTTTATGTATGCATTTTATTTGTGTCTGTAGGTATTATAGAGATTAGCTTTTTAAATTTTTAGAAACAGAATATGTAATTTCAAGGCTAAGAAGGTTGTTTCTCTGTAGTTTGCTCTTAGTTTCTCAGAATTGTCTTTGAGGCCCTAAGTTTGCTCTTGTTCTACTGGGGTTATGTAACTAAATAAATAAAGACAAGCTTCAATCTCCTTGTATTGTTTTCATTGTTTATCATCAACTACCTGCCCTGATGTACCCCATAATAATTTCTGGACTTTTCTCCATATCTTCCAGTTCCTGACTCCATTGTTAGAGCTCCTTATTTACAGATTTACATTTTTTGCAGTTTATCAGAAGTATTACTGGTGAAAGTTCATTTTGCTTCTGTAAATGAACTATAGGTATTCTGCTAATGAACTTGGTCCATTGATGTTGTTACATCCTAATCTTATCACAGACCTAATAATACTGATTTTCTTTATAGCTTAATCAGATGTCACACAGAAATGTTATGCAGTTTATGCTGTTATATTTTAATTCTGTTTTCTTTGGTATATTGTTTTGTGTTTTGGAAAATTATCTATTATAAATCATGGTTTAACAATTTCATAATAATAATTTCATCTTTCTATTGTTACCTTTTCCCAAGTGAATGTCTCCCTCTCTCAGAAATGAGATCATTATTCTGTACTGAGCTAAAAAGTTGTAGTTCATTAAAATCTTTCAAGAAATATTAATAATTTTAGTTTATATATTGAAATAATTTATGCATTTATAAACAACTCATCCACACAAATATATAAATCTTCAAAGCATAATAAGGTAAATGTTATTGCATGGTATAAAATAGTTTGAGTTCATGCTAAAGTATATATTATATATTATATATATTGGACATGTGTATTTACATATATATGAAAATTACATAAACATTAATGAAAATATTCTGATTATAATTTGTTATAAAGATATTCTTCTGTGAGACCCAAATCCCAGATATATGATATAATGAGAAATATCGTGGAATACCATACTAGCTAGACTTATATTAACTTGACACAAGCTAGAGTTACCTGAAAGGAGAGAATCTCAAATGAAAAATTCCTCCCCAAGATTCAGCTGTAAGGTATTTTCTTAATTAGTGATTGATAGAGGAGGGCCCAGCCCATTGTGGGTGGGATCATCCCTGAGCTGGTGGCCCTAGGTTTTATAAGAAAGCAGGTTGTGCAAACCATGGGAAGCAAGACCATAACTAGCATCCTTCCATGGCCTCTGCATCAGCTCTTGTCTCCAGGATCCTGTCCTGACTTCCTTCAATGATGAGCAGAGCTGTGGAAGTGTAAGCCAAATAAAACCTTTTCTCTCCAGGTTTCTTTGGTCATGATGTTTCATCACACCAATTGTAACCCTAACTAAGACAAGTTGGTATCAGAATAGTGGGGCATTGATGTGACACACCTGATCAAGTTTTTGGGAGGACTGTGGAAGAACTTTGGAACTTTGATCTAGAAAATCTGTTGAGTGTTTAGAACTCAGTGGGATGTTTTGTAGGATCTTGAGAGCAGGCCTGACCTGTGAAGTTTTCAAGGGAAGTTAAAAGACTCTATCAGGGCTGTTTGCTCTTTTGAATTTAGAGTCTGTCATTCTGGTCAGCTGGGGCTGAAGAGTTGGTCATGATTAACAAGAGACCAGCACCACTGAATCGAAAACTGGGACAGTTGATGCTGGTTAGCTGGAGCTGAGAAAGAGCTGATTAAGAAGAGACCAGCATGACTGAGGTGAAGTCTTCCAGGAAGTGTTTCCTTAGAGTTAGTACACAGAAGCTGTATTCCTGAGGTGGCCAAGGTTGTGCCTATCTCTGGCAGCTGAACTTGGTAGTGTAAGAATCACCCAGGTGGTACGGGTTTTGAAGGCATGAAAGGGTCATGGAGAGCAGCCGTCATACTTCAAGAGACCAGAAGAGGACATTGGTGAAGGTGCAGTCTCAGTGCCAATTGAAGGCCCATGACTGAAGGGTCGGGCCGAAAAGTTGAGGCTTGGCACCATAAAACAAACCTATGAGAGGCTATTGGTGATAGTGCAGCTCAGTTGCAGCAGAAGACTCCAGCAGTTTTTGAGATATCAGTATCATGGGATGACCACCACCACCAGTAGCAGCAGCAGGGGAGCAGGGAGCCAGCCAAAGTTCAGAAGACAAGCTGTGTGTGCTGCAGAGGGTGCAGCTGGAGAAGTAACTGAAACCCTTTAGAGGAGTTGAGAAGATTGTGAATGCATCTCAGACACTGGACAGTTGGAGTTTGGTTTTGCTTTGATTTGGTTGTTCCCTGTTGAAATAAGAAAGTATTTAACTTGTTTTTTATTTTTTTCTGGAGCCCAATTGAGAGACTTTGAATTTTAAAAGACTTTGGATTTTAAAAGAGATTGGCTACTTTAAAGGGACTGATTTTAATGTGTTTGAACTTGTTAAAAACTGTGGGACTTTTAAAGTTATTTATGTTTTTTAATCTGAGATCTTGGGGACAATTAAGAAAGGAAGGGTTGTGGCTTAAAAGTGATGTTTGTGCTAAGTTGACAAAGGTCAGTTGTGCTGGCTAGTTTTATGTCAGCTTGGCACAATCTAGAGCTAACTAAAAGGAAGGAAACTCAATTGAAAAAAATACCTCCCTAAGATCCAGCTGTAAGGAATTTTCTTAATTAGTTATTGATGGGGGAGAGCCCAGCCCATTGTGGGTGGGATCATCCCTGGGCTGGTGGTCCTTGGCTCTATAAGAAGGCAGACTGAGCAAGTCACAGGAAGCAAGCTAGTAAGCAACACTCCTCCATGGCCTCTGCATTAGCTTTTGCCTCCAGGATCCTGCCCTGTTTGAGTTCCTGCTTTGACTTTCTTCAGTGATGAGCAGTGCGGTGGAAGTGTAAGCCAAATAAACTCTTTTCTACCCAGGTTTCTTTGGCTATGGTGTTTCATTTCAGCAATAGTAACCCTGGCTAAGACTGTGTAGACACAGTTTCTGTTCTGCCTGGTCCCGCTGCCCTTCAGATCCAAATAAATACACAGTCTTATAATAATTTATAAACTGTTTGGTGATGAGTAGGGCTTCTTACTGGCTAGCTCTCTCTTAATTATTAATCTATTTCTAATTATCTATTGTCACAAGGCTGTGGCTTACTCTAATCCAGCATGTTACTCCTTCGGCAGCATGGTGTCTCTTGGTTGCCTCTCTCTGTCCTTCTCTCCCAAGCCTTCTCCTGGTCTGGTGGCCCCAACTATACTTCCTGCCTAGCTACTGGTCAAATAGTGTTTTATTCAGAAGAATAAAACAATAAAAAAACATATACACAGAAGGACATCCCCCATCAGTACAGAGTAGTTTGGGTTTAGGAACTGTTTCAGAAAGACATTTAGAATCTTTCTTTTAATTTCTGGACGAGAAATAAAGTTGGCAATTTAAAAATAGGTTTTCACATGGGATATAAATGAGAATGTGTATGTGACCAAGGTTGTAAACTATGAAAGATTACTTGTAATAAAGTTGTTTGGGAAATATATAAAGCATTTTAGGTATCTCGAGATCACCATGTGTCTGCCAGATAGTTATTAGAGAACACTTAGTACTCTAGGGTAGCTTTAGGTGTCATTTCAGTGAGAAAGATATTAGTATAGTAAAAGTTATGACCTTTAGTATAGTAAAAGATGACCTTTAAATGTCTGTCTCTCTGTGTATAAAGTTGTATGTGACAGTTATCTGGATATATGCTTTCTGTTCCTTTCAATGGTAGGATATATTCTGTTGTATTTGAGGATAGGATTAATTTGTAATTGGTGGTATAAGGCAAAGAATTTTAGTATTATTTTTATAGTTATACTTAATTCCAGGTTAAGAAATATTGTTTTTTCTTGTATCACAGATAAAGCTTTTTGGACTGTAAGCAGCAGGTCAAATTACAAAATATATAATTTTAAGAAACCACACATAATTTTTAGATGGGAAAATTAGATAAACTTTTATGACCTGTATTTGATTGATAAAACTGGGCTGGGTATTGGCTTCCTTGTGAAGTTATACATTATATTTATGTGAATAGTAGAAACAAAGATTTAAAAGATTTTAAATGTTATTTTCTTAAAGGAAATAAAAGAAAAGCCCTTAAATAGTCACAATGATGTTGTCTTAGTTTGTTTTTAGCTGCTGTGATAAACACCGTGTCTAAAAGCAACTTGGAGGGGACTTGTTTGATTTCATCTAACAGGTCGCAGTTCATCATTGAACGAAGTCAGAGCAGGAACTGCAGCAGGGCAGTAACTTGAAGTAGAAACCATGGAGGAATGCTACTGATTTCTTGCTCCTTCTGGCTTGTGCTCAGCCAGGTTTCTCATAAACCTGCCTAAGGGTGGGCATTGCATAGTTTCCCAGGCCCTCTTACATCTATCAGCAATCAATAAATACACCACAGACATTCCACAGGGTGGTTCTAATGGAGGCAGTTCCTCAGCCGAGGATCCTCACTCACATGACTCTAATTTGTATCAAGTTGATAAAACCTAACCAGTGCAGGTGATATATTGATTATTCCTCTCTAGTAGGAAAAGGGTATTTCTGAACAAGTCCTCTTGACCATCCATATGTAGTAAGTTACTTGCCTCTCCAACTCAGCATTCTTAAACTTTCATTCTGTAATTTTTCTTCTTTTTTCTAGGTTGCATAAGCACATATGTATTCAGGCAATGTTAGAAAGGTAAATTTGTTGTTTCTGTTGTCCTAATAAGTAAGCCAAACACTTTGTCTTCTTTTGTCACAGGGCGCTTTGGTTAGTGCGAGTTCAGATGATACACTTCATTTGTGGAATCTGAGACAGAAAAGGCCAGCCATTCTTCATTCCCTTAAGTTTAACAGAGAACGGTAAGAACATTGGGGAATAACTGCTATGTATGACAGAACTGTTTCTCAAGAAAATTTCATGCTAGCTTGACAGACTTTTTGTTTTATAAGTCTATGCTATTGACAGATTTTTTTTGTAGAAAATGAGTAATTGGGATAGATTCAGCCATTTATAAAAATGTGAAATACCTAAACCTTTTGTTCTCTAGGCTATGGAACATCACTTCAGCAATCATGTTTTCATTTCCCTGGGCTATGGCAATGAAAACTTAGACCTAAGATTTAAAAAATCAAGTAAAGACAAATTTATTTTACATATTTTTATTATTTCTGATATCCCCAGTGTTCCAACCCTGACTTTCTTATCTAAATACTTTTTAGCAGTAATGTCAGTTCTAATTAAACAGTGAATTTTAGCATCACCAAAGATGGTACTTTGATCAAAATTCAGTTCCACTCAATTTAGAATGATCATAGCCAGGGGTTTATTTGAATGCAAACAGGAGAAGTTATTTTATTTGTAATAAATTGTATCACATTTTAATGTTTCCAGTGTTGGATTCAATTAGACCTAGACATATGCACATCCACTTATAATCATCAGTGATCAAGTAAATACTGGATGTACCTTAACTGTGTAAAGAAGTCTATCTACTCCGAGGGAAGCAACCAAACTTTTTGTAGTAAATGGAAAAGCACACCACAGGAAAATTTGATGTTAATGGTAAAAAGAAAATCCTTTGAGAAGCAAATATATACAGACTGACACCATTCAAACCAACGTAAACACTGGAGGGATAACAGTGTTGACTTAGAGCCCAACACAGTGCTGATTTTATTGCATGATAATGGCTGGTAAGGAATCACTGCTATTTTGGCAGAAAATGAAATGTATATGTTTTATGAATATGAGAAAATAGAAGGATAGCTATATGGAAATTCCTCATTTTTTTCAGTATTTTTCATCTTGTGTGCATAATATGTGAGGGTTAAATCATAAACTAAATATTCTGAATAAAATTCATGAGAATTGCATCCCATTACTTTATGTATTGGCATCTTTATATCTAGTATTTTTTACAAGGAGAAAAATTAACACTTAAGAATTTACTGTTAGAAACAGCTGACCTGAACAAGGGGGAGCTCTTGGCCCCCAGACTGATCACTGGGAACCCAGCATGGGACTGATCCAGACCCCATGAATGTGGGTGTCAGTGAGGAGGCCTTGGCAGTCTATGGGGCCTCTTGTAGTAGATCAGTACTTATCCCTAGCATAGGAATGGACTTTGGGAGCCCATCCCACATAGAGGGATACTTCCTCAGCCTAGACACATGAGGGAGGGCCTAGGCCCTATCCCAAAGGATATGACAGACCCTGAAGACCCCTATGGAAGGCCTCACCCCACCTGGGGAGCAGAAATGGTACGGGATAAGTAGGGTGTTAGTGGGGGGCAGGGGAGGAGGGGAGGGAGAGGGAACTGGGATTGACATGTAAAACAATCTTGTTTCTAATTTAATAAAAAAATGGAGAGAAAAAAATTACTGCTAGGCAGTGGTGGCACATGCCTTTAATTCCAGCACTCAGAATGCAGAGGCAGGTGGTGAGTTTGAGGCCAGCCTGGTCTATGGAGCAAGTTCCATGAGAAGCCAGGGCTACACAGAAACTCCCCACCCCCCTTTTTTTTCACTAAAGGTAGTCAAGACTGCTTTCTCTGGATTAGGCTGATTATTTTTCTACTTTATATTGTAAAAGAAATGGTTTTCATGAGTACTGCAAAGGTACAATGAGCCAGGCAGTACTAAGTGTATGGCATGCTATCTTATTTTAAATATAAAATAAGTAATACAGTAGAAATGTAAGGATATTGAAAAACTATCAGACCAGTTCAGAGGTGCTATGCTGCTATATCATCAAAACTATCCCCTATTCAGATTGTTATGCTGTTAATATCTACCTGTTCACACGATTTCTTTGAGGGAGGGGAGCTGGGAGATTATTCAGTTGGTAAGTAAGTGCTTGCTGTGTAAGCAGGAGGACCTGAGTTTGGGTCCTCAGTATCCCTGCCAAGCTGGTCACTCTGGTGGTGGGGAAGGCAGATCCCTGGAGCTCCTTGCACAACCAGCCTAGCCAAATCTGTGAGCTTCAGGTTCAATGAGAGTGGGCCTGTCTCAAGGAAAAATAAAAAGCTACTGTGATAAAGGAAGAAACCTGCTAATAATCTCTGACCTCAAAACACATCCATGTATACATGCATACCATGTGCACACATGCATGTATGATACAAGATTTGTGTTCATTTTCAATGCCTTGAGTACACCTCACTGTTTACTTTTGTATTGATGGATAAAGTACATTGTTTATTTTTTGTTTATTTCCTCATCATTAAGACATTAAAGGTAATATTATTGTTCCCCTTGTGACTCTCTTGAAGAAATATTGATGATCATGATTTCCAGTTATAGTATTTTTTTCAAATCTAAGTTGGAATGTATTAATTGGTTAGCAACCTAAGGAACAAGCTGACAGGTTTGGTACAAGTTTATATCCTAGGAACTCTGAAAACATTATTTTGTTTTAAAGGACTTATAATTTTTAATATTTAAATTTTATGTGTACGAGTGTTTTGTGTGCATGAATGTCTGTACACCACGTGCATGCGTGGTGTCTATAGAGGCTAGAAGAGGGTGTCAGATCCTCTTGGACTAGAGTTAGATAGTTATGAGCCGCTGTATAGGTGTTGGAAATCAAACCTGGATCCTCTGGAAGAACAGCCAGTGCTTTTAACTTAACTATTGAATAATCTCTCCAGTCTCACACTGTTTTGTTTAAATACCTACAATATATATATATATTTGTTTTGAAATGATGTATATGTGCCATCATGTGACTTAAAGCATGCTTATATCTCCTGATTCTTGGGTTCCTTTCAAATACATTTTAGAATGAAACATGAAAAAGTTACTTTTAATGTGAGCCAGGCAATGACTAAAATGTTGCCGTTTTAATCATATCAACAATACTTGCTATCAGTGGTCATAAATTTTGTTATGTTAGAAAAACAGAGTGTTTGACATTTTTTGTAGATGAAATTCAATATGTAAACTGTGATTTATAGACTCTTAAATTATTTGAACCTATTATTATGTCAGTTCACATTTGTTGTCTTTGGTGTTCTACTTGTTAATTTAGCCCAAATATTTCCAAAGAATATTAACCAAACTAAAGAGAAGGGATATTTTGCTAACAACTTTAGAACAAAAAAATCTAGAAAACTTGCTTTACTAGAACAATTTGAAATTTCTTGAATGATATGTTTACTTGGTTTGATATTGAAAATATACAAGGTTACATATAATAAGGGATGTTATTTCTATCTCCTACATGGCATAAGTTCCATGTTATACATATATTTTATTTGCAAGAGAGTATTTCCAGAAGATAGAGGTCATAGGCCTATGTAACAATCATGGAAATGACATCCCATGATCATTGCCACATTCTCTTGGTTAAAAGCAAGTCACAGGTATTATGTACACTCTGGGGCAAGAATACTAGGAAGATCATGGAATATGGCCTCCATAGATCTTTGTGTGTGTGCATGTGCGTGCGTGTGTACGCGTGCTTGTGCACGTGAATACACGTACACACATGTATGTGCATGCCATATCCCATAAGTGAGGATCAGAGGACAACTTGCAAGAGTCAGTTTTCTTCCCATCATGTGGGTTCTGGAGAAGGAACTCTGGTCATCAGGTGTGTTGACAGTCATCTTTTACCCACTGAACCATTCTGCCAGTCCACCTCCATAGATCTTCTATATAATATTGTGATGTAATAGTATTATAATATGCATTAGTGCATGCTAGGTTAGCTAATATTTTGATCTTTATTTCTTCTTGTAACTTCACAGATGGCTCTTGACTTAATGTTAATTATAATTGTTGAAAAATTATTAAATATGCTTAACCTATTAGGCATCATAGCTTAGTAAGTCAGTATACTTTATAGAATATCAGTTATTTGCCATCACAAATATGGCTGAATAGCAGTTTCACTACAACTCGCATTGGTATTTTAACTTGCATTTGCCTAATGGGCAGAAGTGTTGATCATCTTTATATGTGCCTATTTTCCAGCCATAAGTCCTTTATGAGGAAATGCTTATTCATGTCTTTTCATTTTCTAGGTAGATTATTATTTATTTGTGCATGTTCTCTTTATGTTATACAGGTGTTTTATTGATCATGCTATTTGCAAATCTTTTCTGTTTTTAGCTTGTCTCTCTTCCTCTGAAACAAAGTCTTTCACAAGCAAAGTGTTTAGTTATGATAAAATCCAATTATTATTCCATCTAGTTTTTCTAAGTTTCTTGAATCTCAAAGGTATTGTTTTCTATTTTAAAAGGTTTTTATATGTTTAAGTCTATAATTCACCTAAAATCTTTTTGTTTCACATATGGATTTATAGGTTTATTTTTTAACCTGTGACTGTCAAGTCACTCCACGGTTTGTTGACAATACCCTTCCTCCATATCATTTTTCTTTTTACTTTATGAAAATTTAATTAGATGTATTGTCTGGGTCCATTTCTGGAACCTTCACTACATTTCCTTGATGTATCTGTCCCATGGCCAACAATACCCTTTTTGATTACTGTCTGTCTATCTATCATGTATGTATCTATCTATCTAGTATCTATGTATCTATCTAATTTATCATCTATCTAGTAAATTTAAATTTGAGCTTAGTGGTTGCTCCTATTGTTTTTTTTTCATTTCAGAACTGGATTTAGATTAGTTTCCTTCTATATAACATTTTAATAGCTTTTGCATTTCTATAAAAACAATGCTGGAAATTTTATGGGAGTTGGACTACAGTAGTTTGGGAAGCATTGACATCTTTGCCATTTTTTGAGTCTTTATAATTGATTCACACAATATGTCTCTCAATTTATTTAGATATTTAAATTTTTCTTTCATCAGTTCTTTAGATTTTGGGTGCAAATTCTATTCATGCTATGA